TCAAACGTACAAGTGAACAAAGTAACTTCATGGTCCATCAAATCTTCAAACCTAGCTTGCTCCTTGCTTGTATGGTGAATGATCAAGGCTCGTAAAGCTTCCTTCACCTTCTTGGTTCTTGATCTTGTCATCGGACCACCAATGTTGATCAAAGGATCCTTGCCCCAAGGTTGAAGTTATTGCACACCCGTATCCGCATCAAAACACATTGTTCGTAATCAGAATTCACTATTATTCTTTGCAGTTATTTAATTTTGTCCATTTTATTTCAAAATGAAGTAAATTAAGCAGTAACTATATCCGAGGGTGGGGTGAGGAATGCAATCATACGCCCTGAATGGGCTATGCAGATTCCTAATTTGAATTTAATGATTATTCAAAGTCTTGGGTGTTGGGGAAGCATTATCCAATATTATTTACTTTTAGCATTTTTGAATTAATTCCAAACTACCCACTTTGTTTTGTTCTCCTGTTGTTAATTCTTGACAAGTTGTAGTTGTAGGAGGAGCATATTTTGCTTCTCGCTTGCCTTTTTTTTTTTGGTTGAAACTTGAAAGGCAATTATTTATTTGAACATTGATCTTATTTTTTAAAGAATTCCAAACTACCAATAGTACTTTCAGCATGTATTAATTTTATGTCTTTGCTTCGTACATAATTTTGCAGAATATGTTTGGTTAATTTTTCATTGATTACTAGTTTTATTTTTCATTCATCAAATAGGGAATGTCAAGCTCCCCTTATAATTCACATCAAGGCTCTTCCACAAGTCCTATTATGGATCCTAGCAATGAAGATGTGATACTTGTTGGTGGTGAAGAGGAAGATGATGAGATGCATGAAGATGTTGACATTGAAATACTTGCTGAAAACAAGGAAACAAATGAGGCTAAACCATTTCAAAAAAAGAGTAGAACGTTGAAGTCTAAAGTATGGAGTGACATGGATCGAGAACCTCAAACTGATGGATCAATTAAAGTGACATGTAAACATTGCAAAGAGGTATGGAAGATGAATGCTAGTGGCACAACAACAACTTACACTAGGCATTTGAAGAATTGTCTACAAAAGAAACTAGTAGATGAGGGGAACAAAAGGATGCAACAACAAGTTCTTTCCTTCACAACAGAAACACCATCGGATGGCATGACCTCAATAACAAACTTTAGATATGATCATGCTAAGGTACGGGAACTTGCATCCCATATGGTTTTGGCATATGAATACCCTTTTGCAATGTTGGATCATGAAATTTTTAATAAGTTCATGAAAGCTGTTTCTCCATATTATATAAAGATTAGTAGGCAAACTGTGAAGAAAGACTGCATTTCTACTTATGAATTGGAAAAGAAGAAGCTGATGTCATTGCTAAAGGGGGTCAGTAAAATCAGTATCACAACAGATTTGTGGAAATCAAATCAAAAAATTCAATATATGGTTGTAACTGGGCACTTTATTGATTTCAATTGGGTGCTACAAAAGCGTGTGTTGAATTTTTGTAATGTCCCTCCCCCACATACTGGAGTTATTATAGCTGATGCTCTTAACAAGTGTTTTAATGAATGGGGCATAGAGAACAAAATTTATAGTATTACCGTGGATAATGCTTCGTACAATGATGTGTGTGTTAGGAGGCTGAAAGATGACTTTTTGTTGAGAAAACAATTAAATGTTGGGGGAAAATACTTTCATGTTCGTTGCTGTGCACATATACTTAATCTTTTGGTGCAGGATGGTCTTAGTCAAATTGGAGAAGTGATTGATATTGTTAGGGAGGGGATTAAGTACCTAAATTATTCTGAGTCCCGCCTCATTGAATTCAGCAAGATAAAGAAACAGCTTCGTTTATCTCCAAGAAAGTTGATTCTAGATTGTCCAACACGTTGGAATGGGACATATTTGATGTTAGCTTCAGCTGTAGAATTTAAAGATGTGTTTGGGAGATATGCAGACATTGATCTTGGCTTTCATTATGTTCCTAGTGAATATGATTGGATGAGAGTTGAAGAAGTGTGTCAATTTTTGGGTATTTTTCATGAAATAACTAATATGATTTCTGGAAGTGAATATCCAACTGCCAACATTTTCCTACCTGAGCTTTATAGAATCAAGGAGCTTCTGAATGAAAAATCTGTTAATCCTTCTAGCCATATAAGGGCTATGGCTGCAAGCATGGCTTCGAAATTTGATAAATATTGGGGTGAAAGTAATATTCTGCTTTCTTTGGGTGCAATTTTAGATCCAAGATATAAAATGGTACTCATTGACTATGCCTTTCCAATTATTTATGGTAGCGAAGCAGCTCCCATATACATTGCTGAAATAAAAGAGGTTTTGAATGACCTTTATAATGAGTATGTTTCTTCATTCACTCCATGTTCTGCTGAGGATGTGCAGTTGCCAAAACGCAGAAAAGCTGAAATTAGTCATGCTTGTAGTTCAACTTCTATGGTGGTAGAAGAAATTGGAAAAAATGTGTTAACTGGAAAAGCTAAGTTTGAAATGCATGTGAGTAGCCAAGAAGAAATGCCACCAGAAGAATCTGAATTAGATATTTATTTGAGTGAAAAGAGATGCAGTGGTGCTACGAGTGCAAATTTGGATGTCTTGAGTTGGTGGAGACAGGAAAGATGGAGATTTCGGGTGCTGTCAAAATTGGCTGCTGACATATTAGCTATTCCAGTTACTACTGTAGCTTCGGAGTCTACTTTTAGCGCTGGTGGGAGAGTCATTGATGATCGTCGTGCTTCCATGTCTGTTGACACAGTACAAATGTTACTTTGCGCTAATAATTGGGTTCGAAATTTGCATGGCCTTTCAAAAAGTCATTTAAAGGTAATATATCATATATGTTATGTTTCTTTATTTCTGCAATTTTTATAAATTTACCATTCTTACTTAATTCTGATTCATTTTTTCCTTTGGTAGGAATCATCAATTGTTGATGACTTCAAGGCATATGAAGAAGTTATACTTCCAGATTGAAAGGATGCAGCTCATTGTACTCATTTTAATTTCTAAAGTTTCAGTCTTCAGTTGGTTGTGTGGAAATTTTCAATGTTTGTCATTCTTAATTCCTCTATATGCGTGTATGATGTCTAGTTCCTTTTGATTGATATTTTTAAAACTGATTGAAAACTTTTGTAGTTGATTATTATTCTATTCTTTGCAGAGTCTTGGGGAAAAAAATTCGAATGCCTTGGTCCACCTAGCTCTTTTCAACTACAATGAATTTGGTCCAGTTACTTCATTTTCTTTGCCGTGGCTGATGGATTCAAATGGCTAGATGAAGTGGATGTAATAGTAGTCAAATTGTGAAGTGGAGCAAATCTGTACTTGTCTTATGGCTGGATTTTTATATTTGAAGGACAAATTACTTTGTTTTATTTGTTGTTTTTTATGTTAATGTTGGTTATGCAGTTAATGAATGATGGAATTTAGTCATTTAGTATTTTAATTATTTTTTAGAATGATTAATGATTTGTGTGGCATATTTAAGGCCTAGAATAATCTGGATTCGAACTTTTCGAGCGTGTTCGCGAATGGCTCGTTTAACATAAACGAGCCGAACACGAACATGAACACGAACACGAACTTTACTTAACGAGCCGAACATGAACACAGGTTTAGAGTTCGAAAGTTAACGAACGAACACGAACGGAGTTCGAATCGCTTAACGAACAGAGCTCAAACATGAGATACTCGGTTCGTTTCGGTTCGTTTACAGCTCTACGAGTATCACATACTTTAGGAAATTACCATAACTAGATAAGGTAATGACAATCAATTAACTTGAGAAATTCACTAGCAAAAGTAGTTAGAAGTCCAATCTATTATAGTTTTTACTTCATTTTAGTTCATGCTTGTAGTATAGTTTTACTTACTCGTATATGTGTTTGTCTAAATAATAAAGGAGTTAGAATAGTATCGGTAATTGATTAATCTTTCTTGTGAGATCGACATTCGAATGCTGACTATATATACTCATGTACGACATGTATACTTGTGGTAGTAAGAGTTGAGTTTAATTAAAATTTCACGTCATTAGCCATTTATTCCATTCTTTCTCTTTCAAATGTTTTTCCAATTTTATTCCCTCCTACTTTATAGAAGCTAATTAATGAAAGTGAATTTCCAACAAAAAGTTTCATAGGTTTAGATATTTTTGGGCCATTCTTATTTGTGGTACATAAAACTTAAAATTCTTATTATGTTACAATAAGATTGTACCAAACTATGAATATTTGTTGTGAAAAAGGCCTAATGTTTTGACATTTATGTATTATTCCACTGAAGTTTTGATTATTATATTATCATATGTAGTTGTATTGGTCTTATGGATCACTAAATGATCGTTTTATATCTTTCAGCATTAAGGATGATATATATATATTTTGTGGTTAATTCACGTAAGACAACTGTTCCTTGCTATGATCATTTTTATGCAGCACAAAGCGTTAGAAAAAACATGAAATTTGTTTGGAAAAGAAAAATGTAAGAAATAATTGAGAAGGATAGTATGTTGAAGGCAATTTATTGCCACAGCATGGCAGGAAAATTACTTATCATTACATCTCCATCTACGATGAAGATGAATCCAATAACAAATTATTGCTATGTTTAGCCAAATTGGATTACCATCTGTTGCAAATGTTAAATTAAATAAACAAGACCTTTGTCAGATGTTGTGGTACTCTCGTTGATTTTTATTTACTTTTCCTTATAAACATCACTATTTCATTTTACTTCATAAGATTTACACTAAATGCGTGCAGAAAATACAACAAAACATGCAATGGCTACAAATTGATGAAAAATTAACAAGAAAAACAGATCTGAAGGATTGACAAACCCTGCGCTTTGAAGCTCCAAAGTATATTTCAAATTCAAATAAAGATCAACTATAACTAAATGGAAATCTATGCATGTCTTTAATTGTCAGATCTACTAGTTAATTAATTGTTTTGAGCTCAATTACTAGTAAAAGTTAAAACCCGGTGCTGAGTTCAATTGCTTAGAACTTTTATTATTTTTTTTTTTGACATTCCTAAGTCCAACAACCATACAGCTGCAGCTGTACTGAAATGAAACACAAAGAAATGTTTAAGAGAAGAAAAAAAAACTGGTGATATTCAGCTGATCGCCAAAAGTGAACCTTATTATCTTTATGGGGGTTGGCGTATCAAGCGGTTGGATCATACAAGGTGGCAACCAAGCAAAGTTTGTTTTTTCTTGGTGCTGTTATTCCGCAGGTCTCCGTCATGTCTAAGCCATTGGAGTTGATACCACCCGGGAGTTTCCAGTCGAAGTTGTACAGCAGTTGAGCTAAAGGAAGCTCCACATTGGCTAAACCAAATGAAATTCCTGGACAAATTCGCCTTCCTCCACCAAATGGTAGATATTCAAACTGTGTTCCTGTGAAATCAACTGGATTGTTGTGGAATCTCTCTGGCTTAAAACTCTCCGGATCATCCCAGTACTTAGGATCTCTTTGGATTGCCCAAGCATTAACGAAGACTCTTGTTTTGCTAGGGATGATATATCCATCTATTTCACATTGCCTCCTGCATTCCATGGGAACCAACAGAGGCAGAGGAGGGTGTAATCTTAGAGTTTCTTTAATCACTAACTTAAGATATCTTAGACCTTCAGTATCCATCTCTTCAATTTTTTCCTTTCCCAAGAAGGCTTTTCTAATCTCGTTCTGTGCCTTGGACATCACTTTTGGATTTCTTATCATCTCAGACATAGCCCATTCAACCAATGTGGCCGAAGTTTCAGTTCCCCCCGTGAACATATCCTGCATCATATAATTGCACAATTATCTTATACCAAAATGATACAATATACACACACACACAAACACACACACACACACATATGCATATGTATATGTATAACCAATACTTACAAACAGTATAGCCTTGATTGTTTTGTTGGTAATTGGAAATTGAAGGTCACCACTTTCTTTAATCCTTAATAGGACATCAATTAGATCTTCTTGGCCGAACTCGCCATTCACCGTTTTCGATCTTGCTAAGTTCTCAATATGCTCATTGATTACGCTTTCCAAAATCACATCAATCTTGTGGTGCAGCTTCTGCAATGTGGGCTTCATCCAACTTAGACGGTGGAGAATCTTCTGGGATGGGAACAGATCAGAGATGTCAAACCCACTCGTTCGGGACAATACTTCCTTCATTAATTTTATGAGCGTAATTCGTTCTCTAAAGACTTTTCCGCATGCTGCTCTGCAAATCATGGAACTTGTGAATGAGGAAATTTCTTCAGTCAAATTGATTGGTTGTCCACCAATAGTGGAACCCTGAATAGATGAAATCAGATGCAAAACATCATCTTGCCTAATAGAGCCAAATGATCGAACACTTTTGGCACTAAGTAGTTCCATGGCGCATATTTTCCGCATTTGTCTCCAATAGTCTCCGTATTGAGAGAATGCAATGCTTGAACTGTCATAGCATATGATCTTGCCAACTAGGATTTCCGGCCTGTCTGCAAAGACATGATCATGAGTTTTCAGAATCTCTTTTGCCGAATGTGGCGATGACACCACGACAGCTGATACTTCACCAAGCTGTAGATGCATCAGATCACCATACTTTTTAGCTAACTTTGCGAGAGCATGATGGGGTAATGAACCCAGCAAATTATGCAAATTTCCAATGAAAGGTATCTTCTTTGGACCTGGTGGCAGCTTCTGGGTAGCATTTACTGTTTTGGATTTCATCCATTTCTTTCCTAAAGTTAAAATGAAGGCAAGGAAAATGAAGGAAGCAATCCAATTGAAGGGGGTATCCATCGTCATGGGATTAATCTGTTCTATGAGCTGTGTGAGCTCCTTCTTTCTCTTTATACTATATGTTATGTGATCCTTGGAATTTGACCAGGTAAGAAGTGCTGTACCAAAGAAATGAAGTTAATTTATGTCGTATTACTCGAAGAAAATTTGCAGAGATCATTCACATGAATTGGTCAAAATCGTTTTAAAAAAATTTGTCAAAGTTGTTTAAAGAGTAATTCAATAGCTATTTTAGTCCAAAACCCAGTACTGTGCTCGTAAGTAGCAACTATCAAACTTCGAGACAAATGGATTCAGCTCCTTTGTTCTGTGGTCAACCACATAGGCTGTGGATGGGTGAGATTAGAGCCGTACTGGTTCGACTGGATCACAACTGTCTATTTCAGAGTTCAGAAATTTTTAAAAGACGGTTGAAATCGAGCCTGGTCAATAGTCAATACAGCCGACTCCCAAGTCCCAACCGTCCACCTGACTGGGCATTTCCTTTGCCTCCAAGCCCAATTCGAGACAAGCATTCTCCGAAAATATTTTAAGTGTTGGCAATTACCAACTAGTCAACTGTTCCTAATTCGAGTGTTGTATGTTCACCAACCTTCATTTATTTCGTCCTCCAGTTCTAGGATATAAAAGTGTCAAACCTGCATCTAGGATTTTGCTTTGTCTAATGCTCTTATATTTTGGTTATTTTTTCTGCTCAATATTTTACTTTTCCCCGTTGTCAAACTTGGCAGGAAAGGCTGAAAGCAACTGGCTGCGGATATTCTCATACATATTAAGTTTATATATTTTGATCACTTCAATCATTTTAATTTTTAAATAAGGATATTATCGATATTTTCTTACGTTCCGTTACAAAAAATCATTTCCATCACATTGACACTTTACCAAATTATGAGGGAGTTACGTATAGTTTTTGAAACTACGAGAGGGTCATATGAAAAATCACTAAATTGTAGGGGGATAAAGTGTATTGGAGGGGCCTCCCCAGGATTCGAACCCTTGACCTTAAAGGTCTTTGGATTGAATGCCTGGTACCAATTGCACTATAGCCCAATTGGTACCAGGCATTCAATCCAAAGACCTTTAAGGTCAAGGGTTCGAATCCTGGGGAGGCCCCTCCCGGTACCATCCTAACACCTTCTTGACCACCAGGGAGTCCAGGCTCCCCTGCTCCCCAAGACGGTTGCCGAGGTGGACAAATCCACAATTGGCCTCCACAGTTACCATACTGCTTTGTTAAATCATAAATGCCCTTATATTTTAGTTCAGTTTTTTGCTCAATATAATCTTTTTGCCCATTGTCAAGCCAAGAAGGTCAAAGGCTCCAAGCCACTCATAGGCAGAATCAGAAAATTTTGCTTGAGGGACGAACTCTAATTCAACTAAAACTTAAGTATATAACTTGAAATATTTTTAATTTCTTACAGGGACAAAAGTTTAAATTTACACATAAAATTTTTTAAAATTTTAACTTTTAAAATTAAAAATTTTAATTTTTCAAAATTTCAGGAGGCAGGGGCCCGTCCCTGCCACCCCTAGCTCAGCCTAGCGTGTGTAAATTTGAAAACTTTCGATTTTCCGACCAAATTTAATTTGAATTAGGAAATTTGAAATCGAAAATTTGGAAAACAAAAAGGAATACAGAGTTTTCATAATTGAAAGTGGTGAAATTGGTTTGAATTTTGGGCCATGATTCTTAAAAGCAAAAATTTCGATTTCGAATTCACAAATTAAAATTAGAATTCAGCTACCTAATTCAATTTCAATTTCACATATGTAGTAATATATAATATATGTAAGTCATTATGTTATATAATAATAATATTATAATACCTCAAGCCAACTAATCTAGGTTATTTTTTAAAAAATAAATTCCAAACCAATTTTTTAATATATAAATTCAGTTAATTCAGTAGAATACCGAATTCCTAATTGAATTCAGAGTGAAATTGAATTTGAAACTTTTGAATTCAAAAACGAAATAAGTCGAAATTTACCAGGCTCAATTTACCAAAATTTTCAAATTCAAACTCTCAAATTACCGATTTCAAATTCAATGCACACCCTTAGTTCCGCCAACCAAGCCGCTGGCTGCTAATCACTAAAAATCTCAATGCCGCCCTCAAATTTATGCAGAAACAATAAGAGCCATACATCACTCGGGTAAGGTCATGTCCGCTGGCTGCTAATCACCAAAAATCTCGATGCCGCCCTCAAATTTATGCTGGCTGCTAATCACCAAAAATCTCGATGCCGCCCTCAAATTTATGCAGAAACAATAAGAGCCATACATCACTCGGGTAAGGTCATGGTCATGTCCGCTGGCTGCTAATCACCAAAAATCTCAATGCCGCCCTCAAATTTATGCAGAAACAATAAGAGCCATACATCACTCGGGCAAGGTCATGACCTTTCCCGATGACCTTGCCCGAGTGATGTATGGCTCTTATTGTTTCTGCATAAATTTGAGGGCGGCATTGAGATTTTTGGTGATTAGCAGCCAGCGGACATGACCATGACCTTACCCGAGTGATGTATGGCTCTTATTGTTTCTGCATAAATTTGAGGGCGGCATTGAGATTTTTGGTGACCTTACCCGAGTGATGTATGGCTCTTATTGTTTTTGTTGACCTTGGTTCCTAACTTTTGATGTTTACAAAACAATGGATAATACTAATATTTCTTCAAGATATACTTTCAGTTATGAAGTTATTTGATTCCATGAACAAGTGCAATTGAAAGAAAACAAAGATTGCTGAAAGCTGTCGGACGCTTGTGATGACAGTACCGGACGTCCGATAATCATTGCACAACTTCGGACGCATGCTTTGGACGTTCGATAGGATTCTTCGAAATCGACGAAACCATCGGACGCTGAATATGTCTCCACTGGACGTCCGATAGAAACAAGATGATTTCTCAAATCTCTTTGTTTGCTGTCGGACGCACAAAGAGCTTGCATCGGACGTCCGATATAATTGAAGAAAATTTCTCAAACTCACTGCCTGCTGTCGGACGCAAAAAACAGGAGTACCGGACGTCTGATACTCCAACGGCTAGTTGACTATTCAGCTACTTTCTATCCGTTGGAAGCTTTAATAAGGCACTTTTTTGGTCCTATATAAATAGTGGTTGTTAAGATACATAAAACAACTTTTGCACACTGAAGATACAAAATATCTAGAGTGATTTTAGTGAGAAAATACTCATCAAAGAAGATTTGTAATCTTAGTGGTGTGAGGTTCATTGTAAGCTTTTCATTTGTGAGTGAATACTTCATGAGTGTAGCTCTGTGAGGGTTGTCCTGAGGGATAGTAAAACTTCCTGACTTGACCGACGGGTGTTCGGGGCAAGGAGGAGGTGAACTAATTCATCAACTTGAAGAAATTTATTTAAATTAATCTATAAGCTCAGGAGGAGTTGGGTAGTTAATTGGTTTGCAATTCTTTCCTTTCTATTTACTTATTGTTACATTTGTGATCTGTAAATTGTTTATCTCTTCTACTTGATTGTCTTCGATCCTTATAGTTTCTGCATAAATTTGAGGGCGGCATTGAGATTTTTGGTGATTAGCAGCCAGCGGACATGACCATGACCTTCCTCGAGTGATGTATGGCTCTTATTGTTTCTGCATAAATTTGAGGGCAACATTGAGATTTTTGGTGACCATACCCGAGTGATGTATGGCTCTTATTGTTTCTGTTAATCACCAAAAATCTCAATGCCGTCCCTCAAATTTATGCAGAAACAATAAGAGCCATACATCACTCGGATAAGGTCATACACGGGCGTCTCTGACGCTGCAACGTGCGATTATTTTCTCATGTGCTTTGGTACCGTACTACTGAGCAGCTGATGAATATGCATTTTGCTTAAGGCCATTATTTTGCTTTGGTAAAATGTTGACAGTATTGACAAGTTTTTGGCTTTCCACAATGTCGTCTTGCAGACTTGCAATTAGTCGAGAAAATGGGGACGATGTTGTTATGGTCAAGCAATAGTCACGACATGGTTGCTCCACGTGCCCAGTCAGCAGTCAAACAAAAATAAATCGATAGATTCAAACTAATACTATTCCTCTCTCTCTAATATCTCTAGAACTTTCAATTTCCATCTGAATAGGGGCATAAAGGTCCAAACCAAAATTGATTGTCGACCACAAAAACAAAAGGTAGATAAAGAGAAATTAATTAGACCTTGAACCAACAAACTTGTCTACTTTGTAAACCATTCAATATCTGTTAACGCAATTGGTGGCGCATGTTCAAGTTTCTTTTACGGTCAACTAGTCGGTTAGTCCGCCTGATTAGGCCTTACTCTCGAGGTGATCCTTCTCACATGATTGGCAGGGAGTTCGAAATCTTACCTTGATAGATATATTACGTTAAATTAAACCTAACTTTTACACCTCCATTTAATACACTCCTCAAATTTAAATACTTTTTAAAATTAGTTTGACTTTTATCAAGAAGTAATATTCCTTTGTCCCACTTTGAGCGTTTTGATTTTTTTTTACACACAATTTAAGAAAAATTAGTTAATTTTATTGAAAAAGTAAATCTAATTTATTATTTTTCTAAATACCCTTACATTAATATTTGAAGTGTGACTATTCAATATACCTTTACATTAATTATAACAACAATATTATGAAAAGTTGCACCATACAAACCATGAATCCAAGCAATTAATGAATAAGGTAGGTTATACTCATTGCTAACAATGTACATTAAATAAGAGTAGGGGTGAACAAATTCGGTACCTACTGAATTCATATCCGAATTTAAATTCAATTTAGTAATTTGAAATCGATTTGTTAATTTGATACAAAAATGATATTTATCAAATTCATCGAATTCTAATATGGTATGAAATAGGTAATAAGATTATGAATTTGGTAATAACCAATTTCAAATTCAAATTCGATAAAATAAAATAGGGTACCATATTACCGCATTCGAATACCAAATTAGTTTATAAAATTATATAATATATAGGTAAGTGCTATTTAGTATTATTATGCTATTAATAATAGTTAGTATATGGTAGTATCATGTACTTATGATAATAATAATATATAATGATATACAATATACTATTTTAGTATTTATTCATTATTATATGACTATAATAATACAAATATACAACAATACATAACATAACTATAATACTTATTATTTTATACATGACTAGAAT